CCTCGGGCTCCTCTTCTGAAAATGCCAATGCACGCTCCCTGGGAAAAACTAGTGTTTCCGGAACCTCTGGTTCGGCCACGACGGTGGGGGACCATCCGGTCTGATGGCGAGCCGGATGATGTGTCCCAAGATAGTGGGAGTGACGCCAGGGGTGGGGATGCCGATGAGGCAGTGGACGTTATTGATGCGGTCCCTCTGAATGAGCGTCCTGCTGATTATGATTCTGGAGAGGAAGCCGAATCCGGTTCTGATATGGAGGTGTATGATCTGGGCATCCCCACGGATATGGAGCGTCACATCTGCCCGATTAGGAGCGCCCTTGACCACGACCAAGTCCTCTCCCGTGTGGCCCTCAATAAAATCCGCACCTTCCTTCCTCCGCCGTTCGTCTGGAGCGTGAAAGGCGCTGAGCATGTGATGAGGAGACGTCCGGGGATGATCATGCTCCACCTGGATTCCGTCGAAGCCGGGCTGCGGTTTCCACTTCATACGTTTTATGTGGGGTTCTTCCACTGCTTCCAGGTGGCTCCGGCGCAATTCATGCCAAATTCTTACAGATTCATATCGGCCTTCTTGGTGCGCTGTAAACTCGCGGGGGTCGATGCCACTTTGGAGCTCTTCCATTATTTCTACCGCGTCACTCCTCAGAATGCCGACGGGTATCTGAGCGTGGCCGCACGTCCTGGGAGGCGGCTGTTCAAGAACTACCCCTCGTCCATCCACGACTGGAAGAACCGCTTCTTCTTCCTTCGATACGACGGGCCTCCCCTCCCTCTCCGGTGGAATGGGTATCCCCCAAAGATTGAGTCACCGGAGCCGACCGACGATCTGCTTTTGGATGCGGAGAAGGTGTCGGAGGGTGGCGTCCGTCCCATAGCCGGATTTCTGACCTTCGAGGCACTCTCTGGGGCAGGCATAGGTACCGCCCGTGTTCCTGGACTTTTTCTACCCTTCGACGCTCGTCTCGGGGCCCGGGCGGTCCTGTCCTTCGAGGTGAGTGTCTTATTCTACTTCCCGCTCGGCTTCTAATCCTTGTTGTTTCTTGCAGGTCCACCGCCCGATAGAGACCAAATGAACCACGCCGAGTGTCTGAAGACCAGGAAAGACAAGGCGGCCGCGGCTAAAGCTGCGATGGCGAAAGCCAAAAACACCCCTGCCTCGGAGTCCAACTCCTCGGCCTCTGATGCTGCCAGGCGAACCGCCGAGGGTGAGCAACATTTAATCGCCACTATGCTGGCCCAGGGTTCCGGGGCCCCTGCTCTCGAAGCCGCCCTTCCGCCGCCGGTCGTCCCCACGAAGACGGCTCCTCAGAAGGGGACAGAGAAGGTCCCTGAGAAGAAACAGAAGCGGGGCCGCGAGGCAGGCTCCACTGGCCCCCTGTTTGAAGATGCCGGGTCCCTGCCTTTGAGCCGCCCGGCGGAAGAACTTTGGAGGGAGATGGCCCTCAAGGCCGGTCTCGAGCTGCCCCGCCGTTCGTCGTCCGAGGCGACAAGCGCTGCGCTGGCAGCCGCTCTTCAGGTAATTCCTCCCTGCTAGATCTTAGCACATATATTTTTTCCCTGACGTTCATCCCTAATCATTCTTCCCTTCTGTCATCCAGTCGGGGCTTCTAGTCCTTCAGGCTGAAGCTGCCAGGGAGGCCGATCTGAAGGAGGCCAAGGCTAAAGCTGATGCGGCCGTTGCTGCGGCGCGGGAGGCCGCCCGTCGAGCTGAGGCGGAGGCCGCAGCCAAGGGGAGGGAGATTGCCGCCCTGCAGGCTGAGTCTCACAGCCAGTTGGCCGGCCTTGAAAGAGCCGGTTTTAAGCTTGTTCCGGTGCTCCCTGCCGCCAAGGATGCCACTCCGGAGTGGTTGGTTGACACCTCCGGCTATCGGAACACTGGGGAGTTTATGGACTCCGCCAAGGACTACTGCGCCGGGGTCTTCGCCGATTTGTTCGCCGCAGCTCTGGAGAAGATTCCGCCCCGCCAGCGCCTGGCCCGCGGCGTCCGGATCCTTGAGGGCTCTCCCCTGTCTCGCAAGTTCCTATATGAGGTCGACGACAGCACCTTCGCCGCCGGCTACAATGAAGGGGTAAAGGCCACCCTACCCACATTCGCCAAGCTGCTGGGGCCCGATTTTGACTTGGCGGCCAACACGGATGACGATCTCCTAATCCAGGCGCTAGGGAAACTGAGGAGGGATCAACGCCGGGAGGAGGCCAAGGCCAGGGGGGAGATTCCAGAGCCGCCGACCCCCGAGCCTGAGGAAGAGGAGGAGGAGCCGAACAAGGGCAGCAGCCGCCCAGGGTCCCCTTTCTTTGTATAATGTCATTTACATTTTTCCCTTCCAGCCATTGTAATGTCCGGCCGTAAGTGCCGAGGAATACAGACGTCTTTTTGTCCACAATTGTTCTATGTTCATGATTTCTGCCCTGTTATTTTCATTCCCTTTGTCCCTCGTTGTATGGAAAACCCTTTCGGCGGCCCGACACGCCTTGTAGCAAGGTCAGAGTCCGAGAGGGCGTTCGTATCTGACCTCTACTTGTTTCCAGGCAAAAAGCGTCCCGAAGTCAAACCTCCGTACGTACTCAACGTGTTCTGACAATGGAGCGACGCTCGTCAGCGGTTTATGGTGCATGCTCGAAGTGTAGACATAGGAACGTATTTCTCAGCACCAGCACTTGATAACGATGTCCGTCCGTCGTCGCGTGATATGAACATTCAAAGCGCGGGACGTTCGTCTGTTCTACGTGTTCATCTGTCATGAAGTGTGGAAAGGCGACGTTCATCCTCCGTGCACCGCTAATGGACGTGATTCTTCCTCCATCCTTTTTGAGTCCATTGTTTGTAGTATAAGGAATCATTCCGGCGCCTCGACACATCTTTACCGCCCACGCGGTATCTTGCCAATGGGAAGACGTTCGTCGATAGCTGTCTTGTCAGTATGCGTCTCGAGTATGGACGTACGGGTGTATTTCACTGAAACAGCGCTTGGTGACGACGCTCGTCTACAGTTGCGTGACGTGAAAACTGGAGTACCGCAAGACGGACGTAGCCGGTTGATGCGTGTGCCCTCATCAGCCGCCAACGCTAGGGTCAGCCGGGGGATTACGGAAGCAATGGAAGGCGAATGTCTCCAAATTCCTCGGAGCCGGTGAGCCCTCCTCAAGGGACGTCCGTGGCACGGACCCGGATGTCTTGTGATGGTTATGCGGCGACAAAATCGAGACGCCTTAAATACCGTGGTAGGTACCGGTACCCAGGTGCCACGTGTCCCGCTTCGGTTGGGGCAATTCTGCGGTGTTGCCTATAAATACCCAGGGCCCAAGTGATCCACTCACATTTCTCCTTACGCTGCTCAATTGTTTTCTCTCTCTAGGTTTCTCAAATATCAAGATCGGAAATCTCGAACCCCAAAGGTACCGTTCGTTGACATGTCTTCCGAAAGTCGCTTTGACGATGGATGTTCTTCCGGTGATGACCTGGAGTATTATGAGCGGGGAATGCCACCCCGGCCTCCCCGTTACAGCCTTAACTTCTCATGCGTCCGGCGTCAAGTTCAACGCCTGACGAACGCTGACAAGCGGCTGATCAGCCAATGGTTTTATCCCCCAAGGACCTACGACGATCGGCGTCTACGAAACCCCATGCGCCACCTGCCCGGCTATGTGGTGGTCCACCTAGATTCGGTGATAGCCGGGCTGAACTTCCCCCTGCACAGCTTCCACTTGGAACTTTTCAGGGCCCTTGAGATTGTTCCTGGGCAGCTCGTCCCCGCCGCTTATCGGATAATCGCTGGCTTCATCATTAGATGCCACAGCGTCGGTGTGACCCCCACCGCGGACCTGCTGCACCACTTCTTTCGTCTGTCCACCTTCGGACGTACAGGGTATTTGACCCTGACTGCCCGTCCGTCCATGGTTCTGTTCTCGAACAACGCTGGGAACCCAGACGGTTGGGAAGAGCGCTTCTTCCTGGCCGGAGTAGGCTCACCGATGCCATTCTCTGATCGGTGGAATGCCTACCCTGTGAAGACGATCCCGCCGCCCATGACGGACGAGGAGCTTGGATATGCCAAGCGCATAGCCGGACTTGGCATCCAGAACCTCCGGTTGCTGGTGGCCGAGCCCTTCAAAGCTCAGGCTGGATTAGGTGCGTCCGTTTGTACTTGTATTGTTTTAACCTCTCTTCGCTGTTATGGTTCTGAACGTCTTGATCCCCTCTATGCAGGAGTTTTCCCACCCACGTCCATCATGCGCCGAGATAATACCGCTCCGTCTGCCGCCGGTCGTGGGCACAAGGGGCATGACAAGCCCGGGAAACCGCTCGTCCCCAAGGTTGAAACTCGGGTGATCAGGGCCCGGACTGAGGATGATTTGGGCGCCGGCGTCTCCAAGAGGCCGCGCGTCGAGGGTACAGCCTCCAAGGCCATCATAGTAGCCGACGACTCTGATGGTGAGCCCGGGAGCCCCCTTAAGCGGAAGCCTGTCTCTCGGGGCAAGTCCCGTCCTTCTCCCCCACGAACTTCTGACGTTCGTCGTCTCCGGGATGATGATGCCCAGGTCGCTAAGGGTTTTGACGATGCTCGTCCTCCTTCGCCCCCACAAGCCAATGGGTCCTCCCTTGGTTTGATTGAGTTCTCCGGGGTTGGTCCACGCAAGGAGTCAATGATGCTCTTTGGTCAAACAGCATCCTCTATATGGTGCGGCCTGAATCTCAAGGTCCCCCAGGACTTCGCTGCTCAGGAGGCACCCGAGGACCTTCTGGAGTGTGGTCAGAGCACTTTGGACAAAGCCGGGCTCTACTTCCACAGGGCCCGGATGGCCTTCGAGCATCAAGGCAGGGAAATGGCCAGGGTCCGGGCCGAAAGCGACGCCCTTCTGAGGAATGCAAAAGGCAGGGCCGGCACTCTTCAAGAGAAAGCCGATGCCTACGATAAGCTCGTCCAGGAGAATGCCTCTCAGAAGGAGCTCCTCAAGAAGCAGGAGGCCGAGCTCGTGGACCTTCGCAGCCGGATGTGGGCCGTGGAGCAGGCCAAGGTGGAACTCCGCCAGACGGGCGTGGACAACCATGTCCCTATTTATGAGGCCGATGTTGCCAAGATCAAGGAGTCTGGTTCCATTGCCTTTCAGAAATCCAAGGCTTATACTGGCGCCATCCACACCATGGCTATGAAGTTCCTCCCGCGGCTCGTTGGCGAGTTCCTGGCCACCTGCCCGGATGCCTACCAGGATGGGGTTAAATTGCTCCAGGCCACCCCCACCGGACGTCGTTTCCTTGACGATCTCGCCGATGACACCTACCGCAAAGCTATGGTTGGGCTAGTAGTGGAGAATCTCCCGACGTTCGAGCGTCACTTTGGGGCTCCCTTCGATCCGGAGGCGGCTGGTTTTGACGTCTTGATGGCAGACGCTCATGCAGGGGCCCTCGAGCTGCTGAAGGAGCAGGCGGAAGCCAGAGCCAGTGAAGAATGCAAGCAGGCTCTTTCCAAGGTTCCAGCTCCGGACGTCGATCAGAAGTGATTCTCCGTTCATGACCTTGTACTTGTACAATTTTTCCCATTATTTTCATTGTCTTGTAATCTCCCGGCCAATAGTACCGAAGAATAAAAGAATCATTCTTTGCTCCTTGCTCTTCCGGCTTTTTTTTTTTTTTTTTTTTTTTTTTTTTTTTTGGAGTCTTTTTGTCTTCGTTCGTCCTTGGTCCCTGGTCCCACCGGCGTCCCTACTTCGAGGAGACGTTCGGTGTCCGCCGACATCGCAAGGATGAACGGGTTTATCTACATCGAGATTCCCCCCTTTTCGTTCGTCCGTGGTCCTTTTAGCCTTACCGACGTCTCTTGCTTCGAAGAGGACGTTCGGTACCCAAGGACTCGCAGGGACGAACAGGTCTACCCTCACGGGTCCCCGACTTTGTTACCCCACGTCCATCGATCCATGGTCATTTGTGGGATAAACAGGTTTATCTTGGCAGGCTCCCTTGGTTCGTCTAGCCCCCTCCGCGTCTCTACTAACCTCTACGCCGAGAGGCGTTCGTCTTCGGCGGTTGGAGAAGATCTGGCACACCCGGGCAAGATTCCCTTCTACATAGGAGCTCCTCTCCTCTTCTCCCCATTTTTTTTTTTTTTTTTTTTTGGTGGAGGCAATCCATACTCTTCGTTCGTCCTTGGTCCCTGGTCCCGCCGGCGTCCCTACTTCGAGGAGACGTCCGGTGTCCGCCGACATCGCAAGGAGGAACAGGTTTATCTATATCGAGATTCCCTGGTGCTTCGTCCGTCCTTGGTCCCTGGTCCCACCGGCGTCCCTACTTCGTGGGGACGTCCGGTGTCCACCGACATCGCAAGGATGAACAGGTTTATCTACATCGAGATTCCCTGGTGCTTCGTCCGTCCTTGGTCCCTGGTCCCACCGGCGTCCCTACTTCGAGGAGACGTCCGGTGTCCGCCGACATCACAAGGAGGAACAGGTTTATCTACCTCGAGATTCCCTGGTGCTTCGTCCGTCCTTGGTCCCTGGTCCCACCGGCGTCCCTACTTCGAGGAGACGTCCGGTGTCCGCCGACATCACAAGGAGGAACAAGTTTATCTACCTCGAGATTCCCTGGTGCTTCGTTCATCCTTGGTCCCTGGTCCCACCGGCGTCCCTACTTCGTGGGGACGTTCGGTGTCCGCCGACATCGCAAGGATGAACAGGTTTATCTACAGCGAGATTCCCTTCTTTATCGGTCGTTGGTGAGAACAGAATTTCAGAAAAAACAGGGGCCTTATTATTGACGACGTCCGGCCATTTTACATGGTAGTGGGAATAATACAAGGACAACAGCCCCTAACTATTGATAGAACTTTCTCAAGTGCTCTACGTTCCACATCCCGGCATGGTTCCCCTCCATGGTGTGGAGGAGGAACGTCCCCTGGTTATATCTTCTGATGATCCGGTAAGGTCCTTCCCAGTTTTTCGCCATTTTGCCGCCTTCGAGCGGTTTGCTCTTCTCTCTTTTCCTGAGTACGAGGTCCCCGGCCTCTATTTCGCGGAATTTCACGGCCTTGTTGAAGTATCTCTGGGTGGCCCTGTGATACTCTTCCATGCGACGAGCCGCTAGGTCCCTCCGTTCCTCGATGAAATGGAGCTCTGCTCGTAGGTTAATCTCGTTGTCCTCCGGCTGGAAGTGCTTGGTGCGATGGGTAGGCACCAGTACCTCCGTCGGTACCTTAGCTTGGAATCCGTAAGCCAAGGCAAAAGGGGTTTCCCCAGTCGCCGTTCTTGGCATCGTCCTGTACGTCCACAAGACATAATTCAGCTGCTCCGGCCAGGTGGAGGTGTAGTCTTCCAACTTCTTCTTGATCCCGTCCATGATGGTCCGGTTCATGTTCTCCACTTGGCCGTTGGCCTGCGGGTAGGCCACCGAGGCCTTAGAGTGCCTGATGCCCCACTTCGCCAAGTATGCCTCAAAGCCTCTGCCGACGAACTGCCGACCGTTGTCTGTGATGATCTGGTCCGGGATCCCGAAGCGGCAGATGATGTTCTGCCAGACGAACTTCTGGCACTGGAATTCAGTGATGGAGGCCAACGGTTCGGCCTCGACCCACTTTGTGAAATAATCAACCGCCACAATGACAAATTTCCTTCCACCAGCAGCCGTGGGCAGAGGGCCCAGCAGGTCTACGCCCCATCTAGCAAAAGGTAGCGCGATGGTCATTGGGGTGTAGAAACTCGCTGGGCGGCCAGGGACAGGTGCATACTGCTGGCATACTGCGCACTTCCGCGTGTGGTTGAAGCAATCTTGCTGTATGGTCGGCCAGTAATAGCCCTGCAGGATGATTTTTCTGGCCAAGGTTCGGGGGCCCTGGTGGCTGGAGCAGATCCCTTCATGTATTTCCTCGACTACCGCCGCTGCTAGGCTCGGCGGGAGGCATCTAAGGTAGGGTCCGCCGAACGTCTTCTTGTAAAGTTGCCCATCAATGAGTTCAAAGTTGGGGGCACGCCTCTTTATCCACGCAGCCCTTCCTGTACTGCCATCATCTTCAGGCTCAGGGAGTGTCCCATCTCTGAGATAATCTGCTATCTCCTTGGCCCAGTTAGGTTCGGCAACGGAGATAACCTCCACCTGGATGACGTCCGTTGCCGGTGCTGGGAGTACCTCCTGCCTAACGAAGCCTCTGATGTGTCGGGGGATGCTTGATGCCGGGTCATCAGCTGGGGGGTTGCTCAATTTTGACAGAATGTCCGCCTCTGCATTCTCCACCCGCGATACCTGCTCAAGCACCACCTGCTCAAATTGTGCGGTCTGTTCCTCTGCCAGCTCTTTGTAGACCTTCATTCTCTCTTCCCGGGTCTCAGCAGTGCCATTCATCTGGGTTACCACCAGCTGGCTGTCCATTCTCACCTTCAGACGAGCTGCTCCGAGGGCTTTCGCGCATTTCAGCCCTGCGATAAGTGCCTCGTACTCAGCCTCGTTGTTGGTGACCTTGAACTCAAATTTCATAGAGTAGTAGGCTTTGAAACCCTCGGGAGAAGTGATCACTGCCCCTCCGCCGCAGCCCCGCGCACTTGAGGCCCCATCGGTGTACATCTCCCACCAGTCGTCGAGGTCATTGCTGCCGTGGGTTCCGTCCTCGGTGCGCGCGGTGCATTCCGCAATGAAGTCCGCCAGGGCCTGCCCTTTGATCGTCGGCCTTGGCTTGAAATCCACGTCATACTGGCCGATCATCAAGGACCACTTCGTTATCCTTCCGCTTGCCATTGGGTTCCTGAGGACTGTGGCGAGAGGCTGCGTTGTGTAGATAGTCACCGGGTGTGCTTGGAAATACGGTGCCAGGCGCTTGATGGATGCAATCAAGGCGAGGATCGTCTTTTCCATCAGTGTGTACCTCGTCTCGGGACCGTTCAGCGCCTTACTTACAAAGTATATTGGCCGCTGGACGCCTTCAGATTCCTTCAGCAGCACGACACTCACGGCCAGATCGGCTACTGCCAAGTACATGTATAATCTCTCCCCGGGGTCTGCTTTGGTGAGGACGAGCGGAGAGGAGAGATATACCTTGAAATCTTCGAAGGCAGTTTGGCACTCCGGGGTCCATTGAAAGGGATTGGCCTTTTTCATGATCTGAAAAAAGGGAATCGCCTTATCAGCCAGCTTGGATAAGAATCTGCTCAGGGCCGCCAGACGCCCGGTGAGCCGCTGCACGTCTTTTAGGTTCTTTGGGGTTTCCATGTCCATAATCGCCTTCACCTTCTCCGGGTTAGGCTCGATCCCCCGCTCGCTCATCATGTAGCCGAGGAACTTGCCGCCCCTGACGGCGAAGGCGCACTTCTTCGGATTGAGCCTCATGCTGGCCTTCTCCATGATGCTGAAGACCCTCTCCATGTCCTGGACATGGTCCTCCTTTTTCTTGCTTTTGATCAGGATGTCATCCACGTAAGCTTCCATTGTCTTTCCAAGTACGTCTTTGAACAACATCCCAATCATCCTCTGAAAAGTAGCCATGGCGTTCCTCAGGCCGAAAGGCATGACGATGTAGCAGTACACGCCGTCCGCCGTAACGAATGCCGTTTTTTCGGCATCATCGGGGTGCATGAACACCTGATGGTAGCCCCTGAATGCGTCCATGAAGCTGAGCAGCTCGCAGCCTGCTGTCTCATCCACCAGCAGGTCGATCCTCGGGACAGGGTAAGGGTCCATCGGACAAGCTTTGTTGAGGTCCGAGTAATCGACGCACATCCGCCAAGTGTCGCCCTTTGGGGCTAGAACCACGTTGGCCAACCACTCCACGTGGATGACTGGCCGGATATGTTTGATGCTGAGGAGAGTTGCTGTTTCCTTCCTGATGAAATCGCGTCGGTCGGCCGCCATATACCTCTTCTTCTGTTGTATAGGCTTGGCATCCGACCGCACGGCGAGTTTATGGCATATGAGGTTGGGGTCGATGCCCGGCATGTCCTCCGGCCCTCTGGCGAACAAGATCCTGAACCTCCGGAGGACGGCTATGACCCCTGCCCTGATTTCTGGCTCTAGATCCGCACCAATGGACACCTTCCTGTCCGTCGGATCGTCGAGTTCAATTTCCTCCAGCAGAGTTGCTGGTTCCAGATGAGCGTCCAAGTCGGCCTGTTTGGCCTTTTCGGAGATGCTGTTGACCCGAGCCTCCCGCTCGTTGAGCTTCTCCATGGCCTTCGTGTAGCAGGCCCTGGCCATATGAGGGTCCGTACGTGCCACCCCCACTCCCGTGTCGGTGGGGAATTTGATGCATGAATGTCGTACGGAGCATATGGCCCCCAAGTCTTCCAAGCCGGGTCGGCCCAAAATGGCATTGTGGGCGCACTTCAGGCGGACCACGACGAACGTCATGCTGATCCGGGCAGTGTGAGGGCCGTCGCCGACCTCTACCGGTAAAACGATGGTGCCTTCAGCGTCAATGCAGTCCCCGGTGAAGCCGGACAGCGGGGTGCGTAGGGGGTGCAGCATGTCCTTCCGGAGCCTCATTCCTTCGAAAGCCTCCCAGTAGAGGACGTTCACACTGCTCCCGGTATCAACGAGGACGCGACGGACGATAGCATCGTTCACGTCCATGCTGATCACCAGCTCGTCTCTGTGCGGCGCCGGTGACATTGGCAGGTCAGCGGGGCCGAAGGTAATTGCCTCGGCTCTATTGCGCTTGGTGGGGGGTGCTGATACGGAACCCACATAGAGTGACCTCTCAAATTTTTTCCGCTCGGCGGGTGTATCCCCTGTCTCAGCGCCCCCGAAGATCACCTTGATCTCCAATTTCTTCTTCTTGCCCTTCGGGCCGAGGGATCCCTCCGGACGTTTATCTGCACTTCGATAATCCACGTCCTGAGGTTCTGCCTCGCGCCGATCGTCGCGGCGCCATGTCTTGTGCCTTGAGTTCGGCTTCTGCTGGCTGTTTTTGCTCAGCAGCTGGGTGAACTCGCCCAGGTACCCCTGACGGATCAGCTCGTCGATCGCTTTCTTTAATTGGCTGCAATTATCCGTCAGGTGGCCGGTCCTCTGGTGGTATTCACAGTAGGCCGATTGGTCGTGCCCCATATGTTTATTCATATCCTGGGGTTCCGTTAGGAGGCCCTTGTCCTTGATGGCCTCAAAGATTTGGCTCACTGGGTAGGCCAATGGAACATAGCGGTCGTCCGGCCGTGCCTGAGTATCCCCGGACGGAGCCTTCCAGGGGACCATCGCCCCGTCTGTCCTCTTCTTTTTGTTTGGGGGGGAGGGCCCGGGTCCCGGCCAGGGCCCGAGCCTGTCCGCCATCTTCCGTGGGTGGGCCGCGGGAACTCCGTCCCGCTGCCTGATCTCCTCCTCAATGGAGGCATACTTCTGGGCCCGAGCAAGAACCTCGGTGTAGCTGGTGCCGGGGTTCCTCCTTAGGTCCCGGTATAGATCCCCTGTGGCCAGCGCACTGGTGAACATGTTGGTGGCCAGACGTTCGTCCAGATCGTCGACCTGTAGGACCTCGTCCCTCCACCTTACCAGGAACCTAGCCAGCGGTTCGTCCCGCCCTTGTTTGATGTGGGCGAGAGCCGTGACGTCCTTCCTGGGGGTGGTGCTGGCAGCAAATTGCGCCATGAACTGTTGGGAGAGCTGTTCGTATGAGTCGATGGTGCCTGGCCTCAACTGGCCGAACCATTCTTGCGCCGGCCCCCTGAGGGTGCTGAAGAACAATCTGCAGATGGCCTCGTCTGATGCTCCCAGCATGGACAGGTTCCCTTGGTAGCTTATCAGATGGGCCTTGGGATCGCCAGCCCCATTGTACACCAAGTTGCCCGGGGGCCTGCAGTCCCGGGGAATCTCGACGCTCATTACCCGTGGAGTAAAGGGATATGTGAGGGAGAAAGAGGGTGTGGCCGAGCCAACGTCCGCCCGCCTATTCATCTCGGCTATCTGCCTTTCCATGGCCTCCAACCTTGCCTCCTGTGCGGCCCTTCCGGGGGACACAGGGGGCGCGGCTTCGGGGACGGCATTGTGCTGAGCGGCCACAGCATCGTGCGGCCGCCTAAAAATCTGCGCACCTCGCCGTTGGAAACGTCGTCCAACGGTGTTGATCCTCGGGGTCTCGTCTCCCCGCGGGATTTGGCGGGGGACTGATGGTGTGTGAGCTCTGGATGCAGCGATGCTGACTCTGGTTCGCCCTCCCGTTCCACGGGAGCCTGAACCCCCACCTAGCCGCTCGTGGACTGAGGGTCGGTGGTCGCTGGATCCTGTCGTATCGTCATACGACTGCATGCGGCGTATGGGAGAGAGGGGCGTTCGCTGGGTACTCGCAGAGTACACCTGGTCTCGGGCCTCCCGCTCGTCTGCCAAGCGACGCATAGTGTCTGCGAGTTCCCGCATGAGGCGAGGATCCTGCCTGGCCTCCAGAGGAATGAGGTCAGTGATACCCCCGTTCCCCCCGGAGGTCCATATTGTTGCGGATAGTTCCGAGTTCTGGCCGCGATTCCGGCGGCTTGATTCTAGACGCTCGGAGAGATCACGCTGGTTGTTGCTTCCTGACATCGTGTTTGCTGTAGGTAGACTTAGTAGCTGTTTGGGAGAGTTTCTGGAAACTTTTTGCTCAGTTTCCCACAGACGGCGCCAGTGTTGAGGTTTATTCCTTCAACCCTTGGACCCAACACGTAAGCCCAAAGATTTCGAGTGGAGTGTTTGGATATCTAGCCCAACAACTTTCAGATGGATCAGGAGACAAGAGAAATAGCAAGCAATGTAAATAGGTATTATTAACTTCGTAATAACTCCCCTAAGTACAATCTACTTGCTAAAAAGGCACGTCGGCCGTTCGTCTTACAAGGCACTTAGAAATGCTGCAAGTAAGAATGCTGAAGCTAGTATGCTAAGAATAGAAAGTTGCCATTCCTTTACAATGAAATAAATGCTTCTATTTATACCCGCCAATGGGCAGGTAGCTGTACTGACGTGGCAGCCTGTGGACCGCTGGTGTCCCAACTACCAAATCTTTAGCATTAAATGCACTTCCCGCCAGAATCTAGGTTTCCCGCCGGATCAGTGGGGACGTTCGTCCACCCGGGAAGCGAGTTGGATTGCTCCAAGTGACCCTTGAGGGATATTGGCCGTTCGTCTCCTGGCCTTGATAGATACTCACCATGTGCACTGGGTTTTCTCCGATGACTACAGGCTTGCTCTGGGGACGTTCGTCGCCATCCCTGGTGGCCCGTGGCTCTGCTCCTTGTCCCTGCATAGACGTTCGTCGGAATGAGCTGCTGGGCCTGAGTCCTCCAACACCAGACGCTCGTCCATCCTTAAAGAACATGGGCCTGTGGGCTGGCCTAGTTTCTAGCTGGACGCTCGTCTGGCAAAATGGGTTAGCGGGCCGGACCTCGGCTTGGGCCCTTAACCCAACAATTATTATTATTATTATTATTATTATTATTATTATTATTATTATTATTATTATTATTATTATTATTATTATTATTATTATTATTATTATTATTATTATTATTATTATTATTATTATTATTATTATTATTATTATTATTATTATTATTATTATTATTATTATTATTATTATTATTATTATTATTATTATTATTATTATTATTATTATTATTATTATTATTATTATTATTATTATTATTATTATTATTATTATTATTATTATTATTATTATTATTATTATTATTATTATTATTATTATTATTATTATTATTATTATTATTATTATTATTATTATTATTATTATTATTATTATTATTATTATTATTATTATTATATTGTAGAACTTTCAAGCCAAAGACATTTTCATGAATGATAACAATGGCAAGACATTCAAATTTGAGCATGCGTGGCGTGTCCTCCACGCATGTCCGAAGTGGTACCAACAATACGAAGCTCCGGTATCCTTCTCCCGGCCAATATCGTCTCCACAATCGCACGATTCGCCCACACTCGGAGGTAGTGCTAGCTCTCCCTCGGATGGAGAGCCACTTCAACGTCCCGAAGGCCGGGACAAGCAAAAGGCCAAAAGAAGTGGAAAGGCAAAGGTGTCTAAGTTAGATCCAATGATGACGCAATGTTTACAAGAAATGATTGAGCAAGGCAGAGAACAAGCTTCAAGAAGAGCTAAGCGTGATGAGCTTCAACACAAAGCCGTAGAGTCGGAGATTACGAGAAACCAGTATGACTTACTAGCTGCGGACCTTTCAAAGTTTTCACCGAGGAAGCAAAGGTGGATTAAGCAAAAACAAGATGAAATAATGGGGTATTCTCAAAATTCCTCAAGTGATGTTCCCGACACTCCTGCAGAAGAAGTGTACCGTCCCCACTTTGATTTCTAGTTATTATGTTTTGTTGTTTTTATTTTGTATTGTGTTGTAAGTTGAATTTCACATATGTTTCACTTTTAAATTCCATGTTTTGTTATTTTAATTTATTCAATGTGTTATTATTTTAATTATGTGTGCTTATTTAATGTTCACGTTTATTTTTATTTAAATTAAATTTATTTTAGTGACTTATAAGTTTGTCACATTATTAAGTAATATTCTAAAAAGATAGAAGTAATTTACACAAACGCGAATATTTTATTAAGACACATAAAAGTTCCAGAAATACATAAAGTTTTTCGGAAAAACATAAACAGTACAACTACAAAGTTAACACTAGTAAATGAAATACATGAAACACAACTAGATTAAGAAAACACATAAATATTTAGGGGAAGCAAATAAACTACATTCCATTTCCATGGTGCATCCACAGATGGTTTATGAGATCACTTTTAAGCGATGTGTGCACCGAGGAGTCTCTAATTCGATTGTGGCGCATCATATATTGAATCAAGGTCGAACCATCATGGTTAAGATCCAATTCAACAATACCACCAATATAGTCATAGTCTTCACGATAGTCTTGTTGGGTTGGTTCTTCATCATTCTCTTCATATTCATCTTCCACTATCATGTTGTGCAGTATAATGCATGACAGCATTATATCACCTAATGTGCGTATGTCGTGCAACCGTGCAGGACCTCGCACAATAGCCCACCTAGCTTGTAAAATTCCAAATGCTCTTTCAACATCCTTACGAAAAGCCTCTTGCATTGAAGCAAAAAGTTTTTTCTTAGGAGTGTCTGGATGACTTATTGTCTTAACAAAAGTTCCCCAACTTGGGTAAATCCCATCAGCTAAATAATAACATTGATTATATAGCTTACCATCCACGCGGAATTGTACCTGAGGGGCAGATCCATTTACAACAGCATCAAAGACTGGAAAGCTTGCAAGAGTGTTGAGGTCATTGTTGGAACCGGCTGTGCCAAAAAATGCATGCCACATATGAGTATCATAAGAAGCAACTGCTTCGAGCACAACTGTTGGTTTTCTTTTGTACCCGGTGTACTGGCCGGCCCAAGATGTAGGACTGTTTTTCCACTCCCAGTGCATGCAATCAATGGACCCAATCATCCCGGGAAAGACTCTTTTCGAGGCCTTTTGAAGAAGACGATGCAGATCCCCGGGGTTAGGGATTCGTAGGTACCAAGAACCATACACACTAATAACTGCCCTACAAAATTTTTTCATGCACAAAAGTGTAGTTGTCTCACTCAAACGACATAACTGATCTAATGAATCAGCCGAGCAACCATTGGCGAGCATAAATATCGCACTAGTGAGTTTTTGATTAGGAGAAAGAGATACCTTGTTTGCTGCATCTACTGTACTTACAAAATAGGGATCGAAAGCCATGACATCTTTCATGATTCGATCAAATAGAGCCGGTTGCATGCGATAACGACGACGGAAGATACGTGCATTGTAGGTGGGATTTGGATTCCAGTAATCATCCATCAACAAACGGTGTCCAGCTTCCCGACCACGGTCTATGTAATCACGACTACTATTGGAGCTTGTTGCAACCAAAGAAGCCATCAAAGCCATGCGCATGCGGTCGGAATAAGCTTCTTCATCTTCATCTTCATTAATGGATTTGTAAAATGCGGGAAAAGAACTCAAGATGTTTTTGGCCTTGTTGAAAATGGGAGAAGTAAAGATGAGATGTGTGATTCCAATGTCAAGTGAGGCCATGTATTTATAGTAATATAGTTCTTTGATGTTCACACCAAGTGGAGGATACATCCAAATTAATATGTTTGGACCAAGTGGAGAATAGCATCCAATGTGGTATGGAAGATTACACATGGTGGAAAAGAGAATCCAATGTCATATAATGTGCTATGAAAGGACACAAATAATGGAAAAGAGAATCCAATGTGATTTGAAAAGATACAACAAGTTGAGAAGGGAATCCAATGTGTTATGGATAGACACAAAGTTGAGAAGAGAATCCAATGCTCTAATGTGTTGAAAATCACTCAGGAAAAAACGTAAAAAAAATAATAATGAAATTTATTTTTTTTACATCGAAATGTGTCTTTTTTATTTTATAATTAATCAGAGAAAAAATTAAAAGGAAAACATTACTTATAATAATTTAATTAATGTTTTACTAAATTGATATGTAAAAACATGTGCAGAGTGTATTTTATTGACGGTGCTGGAATGCAGAGAATAGGAGTCAAAACACTGTTTTCATATCGACGGAGTCCATTTTTAACATTTGGACTCTTGCACCACTCCAAATGGTCTAACGGGTTCAATTTTAATGAGTATCAGACGTCTAATAAAGAGTACCGTGTTATTTTCGTAATTTTGGTGAAAATCGCGGTTTTCGTTAGATGAGCATTAATACACTTTGAATGAGGATCACACGTATTCACTTTCTTTTTATTATTTTTTCTTTTATAAAAACTCATTAAATTATATCTATAATCAATTCCTATGAATTTCAATATGCGAATCTAATGTAATATGGTACTTTTGAAATATGCATTGTTATGACATTTTAAAAATGAGAATAACATGAGTACTAATTGAGCATATGTAACTTACAAAATGAACATAAATATGAAAATCATAAGGTTTATTAGTTGGACGTCATGACATTTTCATTGAGTATCAAACCTCCTATATTGAGATGAAAATAACGTTTTCTGTTAAATGAGCACCAATGAACTTTTAATTAGCACTAGACCTATTATATTGAGTATCAGAAGTCTAATATTGAGCATCATAATCTATGCTTCATATCTACTAATTCACTTCCTTTTTAATTTTTTCTTTTATAGAAATTTATTAAATTATATCTACAATCAATCCCTATGAAGTTCAATATGTGAATCCAGTGTAATATATTACTTTTGAAATATGCATTGATATAACATTTTAATATGAGCATAACATCAGTACAAAAAAAAACATACATAACTTACCAAATGAGCAATGATATGAAAGTCATAAGCTTTGTTAGTTGAGCATCAAGACATTTGCATTGCGTATCAAACATCCTCTATTGAGTATTACAAACATGCAATTGGGAATCATGGTCCGTGCTCTCGTATATATAGTAATCCAGAGTAATATAGTACTTTTGAAATATGCATTAATAAAACATTTTAAAATGATCGAGCATAACATCATGATGTTATTTGAGTATAAAGACAATTACATTGAACATCAAATCTCCCCTATTGAGTATCTGAATAATGCAATTGAGTATCATGATATGTACTCTCGTGTATATAATCTAACTCTTATGTGAATCTAATATGATACTTTTGAACACACATAGCTTACAGAATGAGTATCAAAAAATTTAAAAGCTTATTTGAATTCTCTAATGTGCTCAAATGTTCATTTGTGAACATATAATGACAAATATAGTAATGAAAAATATATTAATTTTATATTAAAAATAATTTGTGATCTTTAGTTCTCAAATTAAAGTATAATCGGATTCATTTTATAATGTATACTCATGCATATTTATTTTACATTATACTCATTTTAGTATAACACAAAACTCATGTAAGTAATTAACACACAATATTTAATAAACCGGTAAATAATCATCATAAATTAAAAATAGAAAAATACAGCATTAATACCTAAAATATTTTATAATACATAAGTTAAAAAAAACTTAAGTTAGAAGGTTGATTTGAAAAATAAAAAAATAAAACGGGACACTTAATAATATTTTGTATAACATTTTATATACTACCTCCGTCCCTGAATTTACTTCCATAATAAAGTGGCACGCGGATTAAGAAAGTGAGAGTTCTGTGGTGGAGAGTTGTGCAGATAGAGAGAAATGTTGTAAACCACAAATTCTTTGCCAAAAAGAGAAAATGAAGTTCTTTTTTGGACAGACGAAAATGGAAAGTTGGAAGTATATTCAGGGACGGAGGGAGTAATACATTTTTTAATCATAATTGAATACTAGGGAGTAGTATATAATTAAAGCAAAGGGTTGCTAAAGAGAAAAAAAACAGGATAACAAAAACCAAAAAAGAAAGCAGTAGTGCGGAACTAACAAAAAATTTAAAAAACAAAGACAAAAAGAAAGCAGTAGTGCAGAAGTGTGAAACACGCCAGGGGGAGTCCAGCCGTCCAGGAACGCACGCGGGCATGAGGCGGAAAAAGAAATAGCTACAGTAACTTTGCCCTAATTATAACCCAAAAACTTATAACTAATTACAAAAATGCCGGCTGTACCGTATAATTTACTTGATATAGAGGTTTTGGAACTGATTCTGATTCTGCTTCTTTTTTAAAGTAGAAGCAGTATCAGAATTAGTTTCCAGAAACTGGTCTCCCCTAACTTCTAAAAAAACTGATTCTAAATTAGAGCACCAGAATCACTTCTGCACTTTCACCCAAATAAATCTGATTCTGCTCCCTGAAGGAGTAAAGGAGCAGAAGCAGTTTTAAATATCAGATCCAAACAATGCACCCCATGTTCAAGTTAGATATGTTACAGTTTTCTCTTGCTAGAGACCTAAGTACCTTGTTTGCATTTTAATAATTGAATTATTCCTTGGTTTGTATTTTCATTAATTTTAATTAATTCAATTATGCCTTGGTTTGTATTTTAATTAATATTAATTAATTCAATTATGCCTTGCTTTGCTTTTTAAAATGAGAAAAGGAACATATATACCCCTGAATTATTATGGTGGGAACAAATATACCCCTCTTTTTTTTTTAGAACAAAAAACTCATAAAACTACAATTAGGATACAAATGTACCCCTCTCCTAACGTTTAGTCTCTTATTCTCCATCAACAACATTTTCTTTCTAGCTTCAGCTCATTTATCAAATCTTTAGTCCAAATCGGTTAGAAAGAAGAAGTTCACCATTGACCTGCAAATTTTTTTATTCTCCACATAAGCTGATAAATGAGAAGAAGATCACCATTGACCTGCACTTTATTCTCCAACAGCTTATTATTGCTATTATCAACATCATGCCATTCAAAATATATGCATCCATTGACCCACACATTTTTATTCACTTTTCTATTCAAATAACATGTAAAAAAACATATTCACAAAAAGATAATCATAAACATCTCAGGAAGGAAAAATCTAGGTAGACAAACAAAAAATTTGAATCTTGGAGCTTTTGTCCACAAAAGCATCGTTTTCACTTCCCTTTGTTAATATATTGTTGGCCTAAACGTTTTTTGTATATTAATAATGGTTAACACAATTTCTAGCAGCCCACTACAGTGTACCCATTTAATTGTCAGACCTATCAATATTTGCCTCTCCCGTTAGAATTTGAATTCAGCTCATTATTGAGCTAGTGATGAGTTGTGCGTGTAGTGCATTATTTGAGTGTCCTAATAAAACCAAAAATCCTATGCTATAAGGACAGCCCCTGCACCCATGTTGCAAGTGTGGAGCGTACGAGAGATACTTCACCCAAACCAGTCTTCTTCCTCCTTGAGTTTCCTTTGTGTGAGAACTGGATAGTGAGTAGAAGTGAGTTGTTGACGAGGCTAGAAAGATGTGTTGCTCCCATAGCCTAGGTGTACATAAGAGACAACCGGAAAACTGACGTCCGGACTGCCTGAGCCGGAATCCGGTGACGGAATCGATCCTCAACAGTGGTATCAGAGCCTAGGGTTATCGTCACCATCGATTTCGCCGGATTCCGCCGCCTGGAACATCTCCGCCGCCACCCACCGCCGCACGCCGCCGTCCGTTGCCGTTCGCAGACGATTTGAGGTCTGGGAGGACGCCCGTCGCCGGAAGTCCGTTTCTCGTGGCTGAGAAGCCGTCGCTGGAGTTTTAGCCCCAAATCCTCCGTCGTTCGTCAAATCCGGAGTTCGTAGGTCTGGGACGCCGCTGGAGCTTCCTTTTGCCTAGGAATCGTCGCCGGAGAATCTCCTACCCGTCAATATCGATTTCCGTTCCTGACCGTCAACATCACTGAGCTCGTCCGTTGCTGGATTGCTTGAAGCTGGAGTAGAGGGCCTGGACGTTGCGTGAATCTTGCGCAACTCTCTCGCGTAGAAGGAACACGAGCTTCAAACTCTGCTTTTTGGGGCTGAAGTGTTGGACCTGTTGGACTGGTACTGGGCCGGGGCTAGTGGACTGACTGGAGCTGCTGACATGGGCTGGAGCTGTTGTTAGACGAAGGGCTGGACTGCTGGACTTGGAGCTGAACCTGGAGCAGAGAAGAGTCTCGGTCAACTGCTCAGTCAACGTCGGTCAAAGGCAGCCAACAGTCCGAAAAAAAAATCCCAATTTTTAAAATTGGGTGGGTAAGGTCGAAACACCTCTCCTAGGGTTTCGCTCCGGTAAATTGACTTTTATCCCTTTTATCGCTTTTGTAGTGATTTAATCTTTTATTGTGTAGAAAACTGTTTTAGGTTTATTACTGCTTTTAGAATTGATTGAATTGTTGTATTGTGTTGTGCTGAAAATTTATTATTTATTTGTGCTTATACGGAAGAACAAGGGGTTTGAACTTGAGTTTGGTGCTCATTAATACTCCCCGCGTGTTCGTGCTAGTTGCTCCGTATATTTGTAGCCTTATAAATATTTAAATTGTTTTTCAGCGAAATTTACATTTTCTTTTATTGCTTGTTTTTCTATGTGAAAATGTCTGCTTATAATCAGTATGGTATGGCTCCATTTATT